TTACATTTTAAAATTCATAAAAGTATAAATTAACCTCATTAAAATTACTTCCAACACACCATTATTTGATAATCCATTCAATAATTTACTTTTATTACAAAAGTAAAAAAATTCAAATCACATCACTGGAAGGTGATTGTTTCAATTTCCCAATCAGAATTTCTGACTTCAATTATCTAACAAAACAGATTGAGTATTGAGCATCAGAGACTGTTCTAGGTGCCAGAAATACATTGGTGAATAAGATAGCCCTGCTATTTTGCAACACTCATTATATTGGGAGAAACGGACAATGAAAAGTCAATTAATTATATTAAAAAGTGACAAGTGAGAAAAACAAGACGTTTTAAAGATCAGTGTTTTTTCTGAGAAAGTAGAAATTTAAAAATTCCTGGTCACTCTTGCAGCCCCAGTTCCATCAGCAGCGACTGTAACTGAGTAGGCTGTCAAAGCATGCTTGCTGGTGAATGTACCAGAAAGCCCACATCACCCTGAGAAATTCTGAGATGGGTAATACGGATGCTATTGACTCAACAAAGCAATGAAATACTTAGCGGAAGCCATGTAAAAGACATGGCTATGTGTTGGTAGTTTCCCAGATGACCAGGACATTCCTTTGCTAAAACAGCTTCCAGTCATTGGAAAGAGAAGTGTAGCAGAGAATTCTGGAACTCAGATTTGTCTCTCATACTCCACACTTCTCATCCATTCATTTTCATCACTAATTCACCTTTCTCCACTTTTAAATCTAGATCTTCAAGGGAAACATTTTTTATTTACACTATCTTATAGATTTCTTAAAGTGTGTTTTCTGCCAAACTTTACGCAAAATGACATTTAGGTTATTTCCAATATTTTTCTTTTATACATGATGCATACACAACCTTTCTGAAATGTACAAGCATATTTATAGCATACATTCTTAGAACTGTGGTTTCTGAGTTGAAAGATATGGGCATTTGTCATGTTGTAAAGTACTGCTAATATTTACAAAGGCCCTACAACTTATTATCTGACCAGCAAAATAGAAGATTATTTCCTACACTACCACTACATATGTTATCACATTTTTCCTTACTTTGATGATGTTATTAGTGAAAAATGTAGCTTTTATAGTAGCTTTAAATTTGGATTTATTTTAAATATGAGTGAGGACAGTTTTTTTTGTGTTAGGCTATTACAATAGTACACATAATTCTCACTTGCATTTGGGTCTATTTCTGAACTCTATTCCATTCCATTGATATATCATATACCAACATCATACTAGTTCTCCCTTATCCATTTTTTTTTCAGAATTTCCCTAGGTATTACTGCTTTAAAATTTTTGTGTATGAAATTAAACTCAGCTTGTCTAGTTCCAAAAAAATATCATATGTAATTTTACTTGGATTGAGTTAACAGAACCTAAAGGGAATTGACATTAGAAATGAAGTTTCTAACCCAGTACCATGGTGTACCTTTTCCTTTGATCAAAGCTGCTTTTGTGTCCCTAAGGAGCATTTAAAAGTTTCTTCATATAGAACTTGCATATTTCCTTTAATTTTATTCCAAGTTATTTTATCTTTTTGCCATTTTAAATGAGGCCTTTTCTTTTTCATTAGATTTTCCTGCTTATTGATTTCTGAATCCCGGGCCACCTTATTGAATCCACCTATTGTTGGTAATAGTTTTTTGGTTAAGTTTTTTAGATTTTTCAGTTATATATTCAAATCATCTGCCAATAATAATCATTTTATTTTCTGAGTTCTAATTATTATATCTCTAATTTCTTACTTGAATCTAAACATGTTTTTCTGAAAAAACCAAAAAGTTAAATAATGGTAGAGATGGTGGACATCCTTGCTTTGTTTCTGACATTAACAGGAATGCTTCTAAAGTGTTTTACAATTGAGTACTGATTGTCAGAGTAGTCATATATAATCAAGTTTGAAAAATACCCATCTGTTGCCATGTTAGTAAGTTTTTAAAACAAGAATAGATTTTAAATTATATTAAAATGCTTCTTTAGCATCTATGAAGATGCTCATATTTTTGTCCTTATATAAACCATATAGTGAATTAATTTATTTCCTAATAGTGAAACATCCTTGCATTCTTAGAATAAATTCCATTTGGGTACATGCTGCTTGATTCTTTCCTAAGACTTTACTAATCATTTTTGTAGTGATATTTATAAGCGAGATGAAACCATAATTTCCTTTGTGATTAATTGTATTTGAGTGTTTTTGTTATACTAACATTTTGAAACACAAAGAAGCTTTCCTTGTCTAGGTCCTAGAACATTATTAAGGGCATTGGAATTATCTTAGAATACCATTCCGAAGCTCTGTTAGTGATATATATGGGTGGTGCTGGTGGTAGGGGTTGTTGGCCTTTTACAACTCTGCAAGGGTACTTCAAAAAGTTCATGGAAAATTGAATTAAAAGATAGTATGAATCCTTCCATGAACTTTTTGAAAACCCCTTCTATGGCAATTTATGTTAAGGTTTTCTGCAATCATAGAATATTTTTTTTCTTTAAAACTAACCATTTTATTTGGCTCTTTAAATATAATGGCACAGAATTGGACATTCTTACTTCCCATTCCCCTTGTTTCCATTAGGATATTTATAATTCCATTTGTTGAATTGGTTTATCTAAATAGTTTTATCTCCTTTTGTACCAAAAAATAAACTTTTAGGTTTATTTAGTAACTCTAATTTTTCTTATTTCATTAATTTCTATTTCCTACTAATTCTTTCATATTTTTGTTTCTTCTATTTTTCTGTTTTTAAGAACAGTATGTTAAACCCATTTGATTATTTTTGTATTGGGATTGGTTGAGAAAATGGAAAGTGAGGAATTCGAGATAAGTTTATGAAAACTCTTTCTAGGAGTTTGGCTATAACAGTGTATAGGGTACATACTTAGAGAACTTTAGGTCTAACGATTTTTTTTTTTCTTAAGCCGAGCAGTGTTACAACGTATTTGCATGCTGATGAGAATCATTTGGTATAGAGGAACTAATAATGCAGGAAAGGGATTAATCATGGGAGCAAAGTTTTTGAGTAGGCAACAATTGTACAGAAGGAGTTGTTCTTAGGTAGATAGCTCACCCCCTTGAAACAGGAGGTGGAAGCCAGTAAGTGGATATGTACATTTGGTCATCAGTAATGGCACACTACACATGTGGTTATAAATCAAGAATGAGTCCAGTTAGCATGGCTGTTTTTCTCTGGTAACATTATATAGCTTGAGTGCAGACATGGCATAGGCAGTGTAAGAGATTTGGGTTTAACCCTGGTTGGAGTTCTGCAAAGTAGGTAAAAGAGAAGGGCACATATACAAAATGTGCCTAAAATTTCATGGGGTTCAATAGTACTGGAATACAGGACAGCATAAAGCAGGGAAACAGATTTTTAAAATGTTCTTCAGAATTTGGTACTTATGCCTAACTTAAACACAATAGTTGAAGCTTTGCTAGGCAGGAGAGTGGGAACTATCTTACTTACCTCCATGTTCTAGTAATTTCATCTTGGCCTTTGGGGGTTGGGACACTATCCACCTCTGATTTTTCATGTTAGAAGGCATATTAAAACCTCTCAGGGATGCAAGTTTAGTGGTTTTTTTCTTTCTTTATTTAAGTTTACAAAATACATGCTTATAGAAAATTAAAACATTATAGAAATATATAAGGCAGACCATGAAAGTTCTCCCATAATTCCATTCCCTCACAAAGCCACTGTTAACAGTGTGGTGTTACTTCTCCATTATTTTTTAGAGCATCAAGTTATTTTACAAAAATGCTTGTGCAACTTTTTTTCTTACATAATAGTCTGACATTCCTCACTCTCTTAAATGAATACATAGAAACAAATTGCATGACAGTACCATAAACAATTAAACCAGTCCCTAATTGACAGGACATTTGGGCTAGTTTTAATTATTAAAGAACAAAGGTCTAGGAAGTGGGTTGTTTGTAACTGTCAGAATATTCTTACTAGGCAGTTTCCTAGAAATGAAGTTAGTGGGCCAAAAGATTCAAATATTTTCAATAAAACTCAGAAAACTACACTCCTAAAAGCTGTAACAATTATACCCCTACCTACAGCATGCAAGATAGGATATCTATAATTTGGAAATGCTTGTTTAAAATCATGGTGGAATTTTTTAATTTGCAAACTTTAAAAAATGGATTGTTCAGACCGAGCCCGTGGCGCACTCGGGAGAGTGCAGCGCTGGGAGCGCAGCAGCGCTCCCGCCGCGGGTTTGGATCCTATATAGGGATGACTGGTGCGCTCACAGCGCTCAGTGAGCGCAGTGTGGCCGGTCTCAAAAAAAAGGACAAAAAAAAATTGGATTGTTCTTGTAACTGTTTTCTCATTATAGGTAAAGTCTGACAAATCTTCCTGACTGATGGGGAATCAGTATCCCAAGGGCAGAATTTATAAAGTTCTTATTTACCAGGAGGCACAGGTATTAGAAACTTTAACTTTTCTATAAAATCTACACAAGATAGCAGCCTTTTGCTACAGCTTTAAATAGCTCCACTCGTATCTTCAGAGTTATTTTCCCCACGTTTTGATACCAATATTGATTGGTATCCTACTGCTTGTGGAATAAAATCCAAGCTCGAAACATGAGCTTTTCTCACCCACAAGCCAGCTTTATTCCCTCCCCATTACTCAACTGCAGCAGGCAATCTTTATCATAGAATACACCACACACTTTCCTGTGTCAGGTTTCATCAACTTTATGCTTCATCCTAGAATACTCTTTTCCTTCTCTGCACTTTCATTTCGAGGTCAGCTGAAATGCCACTTACTCCAAGAAGTCTTCCACAATCCTCCCCAGGAAAAATGAACTGTATTTTCCTCTGTGCTCCCCCAGCATTTCACTTGCACCTCTATTACAGCATTTCTATAAGCTATAAACTGGAATTCTTGAAGGACAAACGCATCTTGTTTGTCTATTTCCTGAATAGTCTCTAGTGCACAACTTTGCAGAGCATGCACTCAAAAACTGCTTTTGGAATAAACATACATAAGTTAAATTAAGACTTCAAGTCTTTTAATTCCAAATTATTATCACAGATATTAATTTTTAAAGGAATAAACAAAACCTACTGCTCCCTTAAAACATTTCCTATTATAATAATATTTTGTACATTTTTTAAAAAGGTGGTCTTCTAATATTGTCAAAATAGTCTATATTTAGAATAGTTACGTTCAATAAACCTACATATGCTTGATTTCTGCATCTTCCTAGGATCACAAATTGTTTATTTTAGAAATAAAAAGACAAGGGGAAGGGGACAGGGGACAGTTTATGTAAAATATGAAGCCTCAATGATTCAAGCAAGTGAGTTTCTGCTTTATATTCCCAGCCAGAGCACAAAATGACTGGATATCCTCACCAACGCCAAGCTTTAAAAAAAAAAAAAAGAACCACCACGAAGACAATGCCACATTAAAATCTCTTTCTCTTGATAATTTCTGGTTTCCAGCTGACAGGATGAGTTTCTTCTGTCTAAAAATAGAAGTTAAAATAAAGTATTAGTAGTTTACTTCATATTTAATACTTGCTTTTAACAAAAATAAGGTATCTATTCATATTAGTTGGCATTATATACTTAATATACTTAGCAGTTATTTAACAATTTTAGGAACAGCTAAACTTTTGGCATTATCCAAGTGTAATAAAAAATGAATGGTTCCATTACAAGTTCAGTTTGTAGTTTTTTATCTGAAATAAAATTTCTGTTTAGATATTCTAGTAACACCAAAGCATATGATTCTAGAATTAATTTGTATAGCAATCTATTTTTTTGCTGTTATTCTTAGTACAACATTTTCTAAGTAACTGTAATAAGGACCACTGGGATAAATTAAAACATTCAATGGACTAACTGGCATCAATGAAACCAATACAGAAATCTATGAGCAGACACTATTCAAAATGACAAACACCTTCATATATATTTTTCCTTCTGACAATTAAATGAGAAAACACATGCCAGGTGGTATGGCTGTTTTATTTCACAGTAGTCCCCCTTATCCAAGGGGGATACATTCTACGACCCTCAGTGTATGCCTGAAACCGCAAACAGTACCAAACCCAATTGCTGTCAATTGGCAACACATTTCTGTTCATGTTGTTCTCCAACAAATTTAATGCCTTTTTCATTTTAACTAGCACTTCTCACACACTGTAGCCATAACTTTTGCAGTCTGAGGCACAACAGCAAAAATAGTATGAACTTCTTTTTCTTTCTTCACAATTTCAAAGATAGAAGATTCATTCTTACTGTAGATCTTAGCAACCTCAGCATACAATTTTTCTCTTTCCTTATTAAGCTGAGAACTTTCACCTTTTCACTTAAAGGAAGCACTGGAAGCACTTTATGGCTTTCCATTGGCACATCTGAATGGCTAGCATCACTACTCTTGCGCTTTGGGGCCATTATTAAATAAAATAATGGTTACTTGAACACAGCACTGCAATACTGTGACAGGTGATCTGATAACCAAGATGGCCATTTAATGACTAACGGGTGGTGGTGTGTATATTGTAGAGATGCTGGACAAAGGGATGATTCATGTCCTGGGCTCAATGGAGCTGGCTTGTGGGAGATTTTATCACACTACTCAGAAAGCCATGTGATTTAAAACTTAGGAACTGTTTATTTCTGGAACCGTCTATTTAATATTTTCGGACTATGGGTAACAAACCTCAGAAAGCAAAACAGCAAATAAGGGGAGACTACTGTACTTTAAAAATGTATGTGAAACATAGAACCTACCGCTGTATCATCCTCTCTGTACACTTTAATGGTTTTATCAGCTTCAGCTGTTAGTAATCGACTTTCAGACTGATCAAAAGCACAAGCAAATATTCCTGATTCACTGTCCAAAGACCCAGGTTGCACAGCTGCATGAACTCTCTGAAAATTGTAGCCAGTTCTCCAGTCCCAAAGATGCATAGTGCCATTGTCAGCTTAAATGGAAAGATCTAGTTATACTTGGTATTGTTTCAATAGTTCGGCTTGACAAACACTTATTAAGCACCAACATTAGCCCAAGCAACATGACGATAACTACAGTTATAAAGATATAAGAGTGTATGTATACATATATGTACATACACATACACACGTATATATGTATATGTACATACATGTACACACGCATATATACATATATGTACACACATGTACATCTGAATATGTGTGTGTATATATATACATACACATATATACGTGTACGTATGTGTGTGTATATATACACACACACACACACATAAACACATTTGAGTGTCCCAATACTGGTTTGTTTACTTTCATTTGTGCTTAATTCAGAATTTTTCATACATCTCAAAAAGCATCACGAAATTTGACTTCCAATTCCAGAATACCCAACCAAATTTTAGAAAATTCCCCACATAAATTCCTAACTTAGACTTATTAGCTGGGAATTCAAACAGGACTAAACGATGAAATATACTACATATATTATGAATATGCATAAACACACATATGAACATCCAAATACACCATTATCAAGCAATTGCTGCCACAATACTTAGGTGTGATGGCTTAGAAACTTTACACGTTTACTCATTCACTAAAAGAAAAATGACAGACTAAACACATTTATTATAAAAATTTTATTTTACCTCCAGATACAAGCACTCCATCAGAATTTACTGTCAATGTGTTAATAATAGCATTATGACCGGAAAGATTTTGAATGAAACTTCCATCAGGGAATTTCCATTGCTTTATGTTATCCGGAGAACCAGATGCAAACGTGTAACTGAAATAAGATTAAAAAGAATAAATGGCAAAGTAAACCAAGTTAAGTAAGATGATGGGTTTTAAAAAGCTTATTGTACTTGTATTTTGCATGTATATTCACTGATCTATGTAGTTTTAGCAAAATATTACTGTGCTATCAAGATGTAAAAATACCAAAACATTTATTCCAAGTTAAATCAGATTTTCAAAATTTTTAAGATGTATTTTAAATCCTAGTTTTATTCTCCTTTCACTTCCCAATGCTCTACACTGAATTAGAGCAATAAATATGCAAATGACTAATTTCACATAAATGACAAAGGGTTATACTACTATTTTGGAGAGGGAGAACAAGACAGGGAGAGGCAGAAAGAGAGAGAAGGAAAGAAATAGAGGGGACGAGGGAGTGAGGAAGACAGGCAAAGGGAAGGAGTAAGAAAGGGCATAAAGGCAGGGAGAGAGGAAAAATGAGGAAAGAAAGGATATGAATACAACCCGAAAAGTGTCAGAGGTGATCTGATACAATGAACAGTTTGTGGTATTATGCTCCTCCTCTTTGGATATCCTGACTATAATGTTCAAGGTCCTTACTTTTTTTTTCTACGTATATTAAATTCCTCCTTAAGAATTAAACTATTCTATGAACTCATCAGTGTACAATATCACTTATGTCCAAAATGTTAAAAGCCCAGCCACTGTTACCTTCTATTTTGACATGCAGCATTTAACCATTTCACTATATTTTCATTTCACATTACTTTTTTGTCACTATGTAGAAGTTTTTCCTCATCTTATATAAGGTATGAAGGAAAATAAAATAAATGTATATTCATAAATGACACAGGTCTGGAAATAACAGTGGCTAATTGATTGACAAAAGTAGTAATGTTGGCATTTCAGTACTATTCTAAGAAATGAAGAAAGGAGAGCAACGAATTAGGAGAATATACTTACTGTCTTGGATGTAAAACCACAGCCCTGACTGATTTTTTATGATTTGTTAATGTCACTCTTGTTTTTCCAGCCACCAGATCCCATAATCGTATTGTAGTGTCATGGCTTCCTGTAATGAAAACACATACACCCCCCAAAATATAGACCAGAAAAAAAGAATGCAAAAGTTAAATACAATAAAATATGAAGTGTTTTTCCATAAACATACATATACTGAATGAAAGTCATATCACCTCTTGGCTAATTTCTTCATTGCTCCAAAATTCTACTTTGATTTTAAATTTAATTCTTTAAGAAATACAACACGATACTTGATTAAATATCACTGAACAGCTAGAACAAACGCAAATAACAAATAAAGACAAATATATGCCTTTATCCCCTACTGGAAGGGAAAAACTCCAATTTTTTTTTTTTTTTTAGTTAATAAATATATCAAGTGAAGTAATTATTTTCTAGTCTTAAAGATCCAATGTTATTAACCTTAATTTGAGCAAAATAAGATTCAAACCAGTTATAAAGGTTATTGGGCTCAGGGTATTTTGTGTTCTAACTTCAATTTCCTATACTAATAATTTTGACTCTATAAAACAATACATAATTGAATCTAACAGCACAGTTTTCTAGTCAGGCATTACAGGATTCTGTACATGACATACTCTGTGATATGTAAAAAGTATGAGATAATCGAATGAAATCTTATTACAATAAATTTCAAATGCCCATGACTAAAATATATAATGACACAGAAACACTGTTAACACAACACAGAGCAAGAGTTGTAGTGAATATAAAAATATACGTATTATTATAATGCATTGATATGAATATGCTGTAAACTTGAAAAGTATCCATCATACCAGTAATAATTTGTGGTTCTGCAGCTTGACACCTCACTGTAGCAACGGCATTTGTATGTCCAGATAATGTATGTACACTGGCTTTAGTTCTCACATCCCAAATCTATAAAAACAGACATATTGTCAAAGAGAATAGGTATTCCTATCTCAGGAAGATAAATGTATCAATTCAAGGCTGGAAATTTACTAGACAACTGTGCCTGAATATAATGAAGAAAGTGCTTAAGTAAAAGATAATAATCTACAAGTTGGGTAAAAAATATAGATAGGAGGTAGCTGCCAAGAAAAAAAAAGCTTAAAGATCAGGGTACTGAAAGTCTAAGAATGGGTATAATGGGAGTACTGAATGAAAGAGCTAATGGACAATAGGTTAAGGTGATAAAATGAAGCTTAAGAGTGTCACATTTCAGGGTCAGGGCACTAACAATAAATATGGTGAGTCCACAGAACTGAAGACAAGGTGGGAAAAACATACAAGTCAAACTCAGGGACTAGGGTATTGATGAGTCAAGAAAACTATGTTTAATTCTCTATCAAACAATGTAAGATACCAATATCAAATATGTGTACTACAAGATGCAATATATTTACAAACACACAGCTCTATCCTTTTTACCCGTGCAGTTGAATCTCTACTACAGGTTACCAGCACATCAATTGTTGGGTGCAAATCCAAACCATACACTGCGCTAAGATGTCCATGATAGTGCCTTATAACCTAAAGATAAAGCAGAAAAGTTAAAATTTCTATAGTTAGGAAGATAAACTGCGGCCCACAATGTCTTAAATCCTAAAGTCCAAGCTTACCTTATTATACTCAAGATCCCAGCATTTTACTTGTTTGTCTTCTCCACAAGAGAACAGGTATGGGCTTCTTGCGCTCACTATCACGCCCCGCACTGTACTGATATGCCCAGTCAACGACAGTTTTAGTTTTCCACTAGCCAAGTCCCAGATCTGCAATCAAAGAATATTTATTTTTTTCTTTTCTTGGTTACCCTGAAGCAAAATTTTAGAATCTTGATGTTAAAACTGAATCTTCAAAAAGAAAAGGGAGATGATATAAATATATGAAAATAAAGAAATTTGTAAAATAAGTCCTCTAAATAAAAACAGAAAAAAAAAAGTGCTCAAACTGAAAAATATATTTGCAACAGATGACAAAAAAGTTAATATTCTTAACATATTAAAGATACAATTGGGGCCGGCCCGGTGGCGCACTGGAGAGTGCGCCGCTTGGGAGCGTGGTGGCGCTCCCGCTGAGGGTTCGGATCCCATATGGAGACCGGTTCCTGCTCACTGGCTGAGTGCGGTGCGGGCGCAACACCGAGGGTTGCGATCCCGTTGCCGGTCAGTAAAAAAGACAAAAAGGAAAAAAAAAAAGATACAATTGATGATAAAAGTATGAATAACATGGTACCAAATTAGCCAAGGATGGCAACAACTTAAAAAGAACCCTGAAAGTAGGAAGTAAATGTATGAAAAAGTTCAACCCCACTAGAAACTTTGTATAAATGGTTATAGATTAGATATTCATTTTTGCTTATCATATTAGATATTTTTAAAGGGATACACAATCAACATGCTGAAAAGTATTCTCTAATAGACTGCAAGTATCAATTCACCCATTTTGGAAAGTAATTTGTATTTTGGGTAATCAGCCTAAAAAATACTTGACCCATTAATTTCATTTCTGGGATTCTATCTTAACAAAATAATTTAAAATAAAGAAAAAGCTTTATGCACAAAGATTAATTATAGTATTACTTAATCAGGAAACTGAAAACTTTAATGTCCAACAACAGGAAAATAGATTATAGAATATCTAAATGATATAACATTACATAACCATTTAAAAAGATGTTGAATTTTTTGCAGGAATATGCCTTTGATATGATGTTAAATAATAAAAGGCAAGATACAAAGAATGATTTTGAAAAGATACACATTTACACATAGGAAAAAAGCTTATAAGAAAATGCACTGATATACATGCACAGAAATACTCGAAACTCATCCAAATATCTAACAGTGGTAGGATTCTGCATGGTCTATGTTCTTTCATAGTTTCATATATATTCCACATTTTCTATAGATGAGCATGCTTTAATTTTGTAACCAGAAGGGAAAAAAAAATTTAAGTCAAGAAATAAGTGGTAGGTTGCCAGCATGTTAAATACCACTTTCTAAACAGATACTTATTTGGAACTCTTGCTGGTATAGATGATGAATTTTACTCCATACCAAGATCTAACTAGAGGAACTGCAATAGTAATTCCCACCATAGGAAATAACTTAGAACAGATTAAACTTACATGACAAACACAGTCATGTGTATTTTTTTCTTCCCTCCCTCCTTACCTTTATAGTTCTATCAGCAGATCCAGTAACAAACCACTGGTTTCCAGGTTCCACAGCAATACATCGAACCCAGCCAAGATGTCCACTGATAACCTGTATTAAAAAAATAAAATAGGCCAACTCATCAACACATAAATTAGAATGTATTCAATTTTAACCACAACTGGGGTTTGAATTGCTCCTCTCCACATCCCCAGATCTTTAAATCATAAGTTTGTAAGATTATTTGACAATTAGATTTTAGAATGATAAATATTAAATTATCGTCAGTGGATAAATGGATACACAAACTGTGGTACATCTATACAATGGAATGCTGCTCAGCAACAAAAAGAAATACGAGGGTACTTCAAAAAGTTCATGGAAAAACAGAATTAGATAATACAAACGTCCCATGAACTTTGTGAAATAACCTCATATGTTATTACTATACACCAACAACTAGGACGAATCTCAAAAGCATTAAACTGAGTGGTGGAGCCAGTCGCAAAAAGTACATACTATATGATTCCATTTACATGACATAGTCAAAAAGGCACAAATATATTGATAGAAAACAGATCAGTGGATGCCAAGGGTGATGGAGAGTAAGACTATAAAAGAATAGCACAGGAGTACTTCTTGAGGTGACATAACTTCTACATCCTAATTGTGGTAGTGATTACCCAAATCTATACATCTATTAAAATTCATTAGACTTGTACACCAAAAGAAACATCTCTTTTACTGTATAATCATTTGAAAAAATAAAAAACTTAAAATATATATTCAATTATGTGTATCTGTACATTTCCTACTCTCTACATTTTAATTTAGATCTGGTATATTTTTAATCATTTTAATTTATTGTAGTTGAAAGAATAATTGATAGATCCAAAGAAATTTCTTTATATGGTGTTTTTCCCCTCAGCCTTTATACTAAAAGTTCAAACACTTTCCTAAATTTATTTTGTCTGCACTCCATGCTTCTATTATATTTTATACTGTATTTTATAGAAAATACAAGCATAGCTTCTACTTAAGGCAGTTTCCTTCTCAAGATATCTTTTTAAGTACTGCCTAAGCCTCTTTTCGTCCCACGTCAGATCACTCTACATGTTTTCATCATATTCACTCCTTTTCCTTCCTATTCTTCAGCCCTTGTCAAGTGGAAAGCAATCACGTTTCACATAGTGGAATAAAATGCAGATTTGCTCACCCTGTAGAGTTTCCATGGTGGGTGCCACTGGGGTTTCGGCATCGTAGGCGCTTTTTTAGCTATCAGTGCAGAGTTCTTTGTATTGCCAGTCTCCATAACAATCTAGATATGGAACAGATTACATTATTATTAAAGCTATTATACCTAAGGATTCATGTTATCAATTCAAAAATGGAAACTGAAAGAGGGAATTTATGAAAGATTTTTTCTTTAAGTGAAGAGGAAAGAACAGCTAAAATTTTTTTCATAACTAGAAAAAGAGTCCAAGACTTCAATCGGAACTGTATTTTTTGTATGTTAATTTTAAAAAGCAATTAGAAAACATCACGTTTTCAAATTCAAAACCCAGCTCTGCCAATTACTAGCTGATTGACCTTGGGTAAAAATTATGTAACCTCTATGTGCCTCATTTGTCAAATAGGAAGAACAGTGCTTACCTCATACGGTTACTATGAAGATTTAAAAAGTAGTAAATGCTCCGCATAAGCACTTACATCTGATGCATTTACATTCAAGTCCTTTTAATTTATTATTGCCACCGCCTTTCATTGTCATTTTAACACTATTGATTTAATATAGCATAGGAGAGACGGATAGTTTCTTCTATTTATTTTCTAATACAATATTTAAATACTATTTTAAAAGGTATACTAGTTGATATACCATCTATTGCTAACATCCATCCATTCAACCAAAACATATTTAAGCCCATAAAGTTCTTGCCCTCAAGAACCTTAAATTACATCTTCCTAAAGAGACAAAGAACCTGGACGAAGAGATCTTCTCCGAAGGATAAAGAAATGTGGTGTGAATTACAAATTTGTTCACTCCATAAAGCCAAATCAATTGCATAATAAACTGAGGAAGTAAAGCCTGCACTTATTTCAAGTATGTAATAAAATAAACTGCATATTTTCAGTTATCCTTCTACAACTACTTTCGCCAATACTAAGAGCAGCTGCCGCTTACTTACAAACAGATAAACGTGTATTTCTAAATGGTCATTTATAAGACACTAGTTTTATAGCCAAGAATATTACAATACTAACAGCACTCAAGTGTACATGTATAAACCAACATAAAGTTCAATAAAAAAAGACTTTCATATCTAACACATACTAATGCAAGTTTCAGAATATAACACTCCTTGTATTTTTAAGAGTAATAAATACTAACAGCACATTACCTTAATCAAAATACATACTATGACACAAATAACAGAATTTTAAATCCTAAAAAATATGTCAATTTACTAACAACTTAAGTTTCGGGGCTATAAAATACTGTCTAGCTCAGGCTTGTATTTATCTTAATTCCAAGGAAGTGTTCATTTCTTTAATAAGTAAGATAAGACTTTTGGGATAAATGAAAATAAGACAACAAATTCTACCTGCAGCGCTGTGTGACACAGGGAAACTTACTGAATTCATCACTGTAGGCTGTGAACGGTCAGAAGCCCCAGGATGTCGATATTCATTTCCACCAGGTACAGTACGATTTGCATCAACCCTGAAGCAAAAAAAAGAACACATTCTAAGTAACTAATGCCTCCAGTCTGTAAGCCCTGATAAAGGAGAATGTCATATAAAACATACTTACAGAGAAACAAATGTAAAAATTTAAAAAATGTGAACAGTAAAATATGCTTTCAAAATCTTTGTGATTATGAGTATAATATTTCATACCTGGCCTGAGAAGAAGGTAATGCCACTGTTAAGGACTGCGCGGCTGATTCACTTGGCATTCTTTGGACCTTAGTATCTGCTGTCAGAGCAACCCCTATTAAAATTTTAAAAAATCAATTCCTTTTAGTAGCTATCCTTGTTTTCATTTACATGTATTTAAAAATAAAATACTGCAGGAAAACATATACCAAATGGTTATTATCTCCAAGCAGTGATACCATAAAAATTTTGATTAAGTTTTGCTTATCTTTATAACTTTTTTTACTATAACTACTGCTTAATAATACACAACTCAAATTTTATTTGATCACAAGCAACTTGGTATTAAAGTAGCCCAAGATGATAAGGTTAAATTTCTATTAAATTTGAATATTACCTTCAACAGTAAAAATTAAGCAGTTCCTCAAATACTAGCAAAATGTTTTCAAGAGTGAATGTAAGTTATCACACCTGATTCCCCTGTAATTTCTATGTATAATATTTTGTCCTCCACCCTGTTATACTGGCCACTCCATCTGTGTGCCAATCCTTCTAAACACACACACACACACACACATATATAGAGGACATGTTTCTACCCTACCTGTTTCTATACTAATTCCTCTATCATTTTTATAAGCTTAGTGATATTTACATGTCTGTCTAAACCATCAGCTCTGGAGCAGTCTTGTTGTCTTTGGATTCCTAGCACAGTGCCTGAAATAATATAGGTGCTTAAGAATGTTTGCTGAACGAATGCACAAGTATTACTTAATTATCATCTAAAAAGCTATGGGTGGATACTTGGCTATTGAGCTTATCCTGTAATTTATAGGCAATGAGAATCTCATTATTGGTTCATTCATGGAAATACATGTGAAAATAAAATAAGACATTTTTAATATGCAGCAGCTCACTTACCAGGTCCTGGTGGATATGGATGTGTACCTGTCACTAAATATTCAACTTCTTGTCCTAAAAGGAAAAAAAAAAAGAAAAAAGAAAAAAGAAAAAAATTAATCGACGGTGAAGTTATCTTATATACAAGTATCACCTTTTCAGTATATCAAATAGTATTATACTATCAACTGGATTTCCCAAATTTTCCCAACTATACTCAAGCCTCAGAAATAAGGGAAGTTGATCATTTTTGTTTTGACCTGTGTAAAACCACATGTACACAGCTATTTCCTTGCCCACTTGCTGATATGAGATCAAGAAAGCTTGTGCATTTGCTACATAGAAATGATGTACAAAGAGGCCTTCTGATCCAGTGACAAACCACTCTGGTTTTTTCCCAAGCAAATGGGCTCCTGTGAAATTTTGGACTGTCTTTATTCATTACAATTTCAGTACTTAACATCTTTCTGAATTACAGCCAAGACAGATGGAATCCCTACAAGTTAGGAATAGTCTTCAAATTTTTCCTTTAGTCTCCACTGTGACCTTCTTCTCATCCTAAGATTTTCTGCATCATTATACTACCACTTGTATTTTCTACAAGAAAAAAACCATCAACCATATAACCTACTTGCTTCTCCCATGAGGAAATCAAGCCTTCCATCATAATACTTGCATAGCCATTAAATCCTGTATTACCGCAATTATTCCTTCCAAGAGAGGCACTACTAAAACATTTTAATTGTTTTCTATTTTTAATTTCACATATAAGTTCTGACATTCCTGATATCACCATACTCACCTTGATTGGCAGGATACTGTTTATGACCATATGAATCTGCTCCATTCTGAGGACCCTTCTCTTTAAAATTCTCTTTCGAAGTAGGCATATGCAACACAGGGCCATACTCATTACGAAGCTTGACTGCCATTTTTCGTTTGTGACTAGTTAAAAATTATAAACATAAGAATGTATGCTTGAATACTTTAAATACATTCACCAATGCAAATGTTTACAGATAGCCAGGAAACAAGTACTTAAATGGCTTAAGTTTACCTAACCACATAGAAAAAGTCTCTAGTAATACTTTAAAGTTAAATAGTATTTTAAAGAACAAAAAACTTCCAACTGCATTTCTACACCACATGTATTTACTTTGCTCACAATCCACCATACAGCAGTCACTAAAACTAAGTAATATTTTAATTTGTTACCTAATAAACACAAAAGCTTTTATGTTGAGTTATCTAGGGTCCAAATGTTTTAAAGATATATAGAAACTAACATATCCTTTATAAAATCTCAAAGTCGACATACTTTCCTTCAAATGTTTAAATATAAAAATACACTAAAAACTTCCACAGCAACCTTTACTAGATGTATCTAAAAGATTAGGTAGAAAGTACTTAATTAGCTTGATATTTTAAAAAGAAATGCGCTTATATTACTTTTAAGAATAGTTCACTTTACAAACTAAATATAAATGTTTGCTTGAGAAATTAAGTAGATTTTAAAAGAAAGGTAAAGGACAAAGAAGGAACACTGCACATAATGCAATCCCAGACTGGAGCTGGAGATGTAGAACCAAAAATATGCCACCACTCAAAAATCTTCATCATACTAACGAGAAAAGATGGGAGTAGAGGTACTGGCCAGGTACAATTTCAGCTCAGCAAGGCTCTGAGAGCAGCGGGAAGCTGAAAGCACATACAAAGTGATTGATTATAAAATAAAATACCTAAAATGGACTTTCCTAATTACTGGGTTTTTGCAAAATGCAATTAATTAATGGAATTTTTATGTAAAAAGCCAAAAAAAAAAAAAAAAGTTAGATCGGCTTAAATTATGCCAAAACTCATTACTGAATAGACAGTGTTAGTATCACTAACTGATCTTTAAAGGTCTCCCTCTCCCTACTCTCTTCCCCCAATATTAAAATTTTAAATATTTTAGAAATTGAAAAAGAACTATACCTACCTCTCTTCATCCAAAGGCACAGGTTTTCCATTATCAGCTACAAACATGTCATGAGTCCTCTTCAATGATCTGAACACAAGTGTGTGCACAGAATGTTTCTGTACTTCCTAGAAAGAAAGAGTGTAATTACACATTTAGCTACAAATTACACACACCATAACCTAAATTAAAGTCAAATGTAAGTATACACTTTACATTTAAATATGTAAAAAGCTTTATACCACTCACAGCTACTTATAGCAAGTCAAGCTACAGGAGTCAAGTTCAGAGGAGAAAACTCCTCTTTGGCCAAAGCCCCAGGTCTAATAACTGAGTGATGCCTGAGGTTAGTCATTTGTTCAGTAAATATTTACTGAGCTTATACTATGTGTCTGGCAGGTATTAAGCTAGAAGCTAACAATAGAATGATGAAAAGGCAGTCATGGTCCCTGTGCTCAAGAGGAGACAGACAAATAAAAATAAGCAAGATAATTCCACATTTTGATAAGTGCTATGAAGGCAACAAGCAAGGCGCTCAGTCAGAGAACCAAGGAAGAACTAAGAGTAACACAAAAGATGTCTCTGAGGAGATATTTAAGCAGAGAGGGAGTTAGTCTCGCACTGAATAGAGGTAAGAACAATTCAGGAAGAGGGGAATGCCATATACAATGACGTTCAATAACCTAAATAATGCCAGGAACGCAGTACAGCGTGTATGTTGGGTGAGAGTGGGTTGTAGTGCAAGATGAGGTTGCAAATGTAGACAAGGCCCAGATTAGATAAACTCTTCTAGAACATTACAAGTCTATATTTTTGTTCTAGTAACAAATGGCCAGTAAAGTGCTTTAACCAAGAAAAACATGATTAACTTACGTTTTAAACAGAATAATTTATAGGAGTACAAAAACTGGAGGTAAGGAGACCAGCTGGAATCTAATGTACCAGTCCAAGTACAACATGATGTTGGTATTAATTAAGGTACACTGCAGTGGATATGAAGAGAGGATGGAATCAAGAAATATTTGGGATAAGATGGACAAGTCCTGCTAATAGAATGGCTATTCAAGCTACGGAAAGATGTAAAGAACGGCAGGTTTTCCTAGGGTGGAGCTGACACAGGAGACGAACTGAAGGCAAGATAAACAAGACCGCCAGTCTTTCAGGGCACAGAATCACCGACACTACTCCGCAGAGGACGAGTACCAGTGGTCGAACATCAACAGAAGCCCCGCCTCCGAGGACAGTGCTCAGCTCCCAAAGGTTAGATGAGGACCGGACGAATTATCTCAGGCTTCCCGCCTGGACGGAACCTCCGACTCGGGTTCTCATCCAGCCTCTCTCCCTCCTCCCAAAACCTTAAGAGACCCCTCGGCCGGCCTCAGCCAAACGGCTTCCCTCGCACCCCCTTCTCTCCCCAGACTCCCAGCACTCTCGATCCCCCATGCCCGCTGCCAAAGAAAGCAGTCCAGAAACAAACGACTCTTGAGAGCCCAAGGGTCCTTTTACCTCCACCATGATGCTGCCGTGTACCCCAAGCCTCCGGCAGCGAAGAAACACTAACCACCAACGCAGAAACCGCCGCCTCAACTGGGCAGCACCTTCCGGAATTGGACGTTCTGGCGCCGGACGTGACGCAAGCCTCGCGCACGCGCGCTGCTCGCCCGCCGGCCTCCTGGGGTCGAGGGGCGGGTCTTCCGCCTCGGGGCCGCCTCTGGGGTGGAGTCTTGAGGCTGAGAGGTGGTGACTCCTGAAGTGCCTGGCGGGACTGGACGGAGCCGTTCACCCCTCTAAAGTCTTAAAGTAGCGATGTTTTCTGCCTTTCTCTCAACCTTAAATGTTTTGGTTTGGGGCCTTGGTTGTTTGTGCTGTATTCTTCGGGAGCTTAATGCGTTTTATTCAGATAACTTAAGAAATCGGTTCCAGAGAGCGTCTGAAGAGTGAACCCCCTTAGGTTCTAAGGCTCTTCCGCCGTCTTGCTCTCTGCGGATCGCCTCCGCGCCTTCTGTCGCCTGGTTCCAGTACCTGCCTGGAAGCACTTAGACGCTTTTGCAGTCTTTGCCCTAAGAACAATTCCACTTACACAGTACAGTAAACACTTGTTGAGTGAATGTTACGGAATAGTTGTTTCAGCTTGAGAAATTTTGACATGTAGATATGCAAAATAATAATGTGTTAACAGCGTATGGCACTATTCCAAATTTACTTTATGCTACATAGGGTTTTTTTTGTTTTTGGTTCTTTAATTTCTCAAAACTGCATAACCCTTGGCCGTTTTCTTGTTGTCTGCTGATAAATGTGGCTTCAACAAGGTCAGGGCACAGCTTTTCAAAACTCGTGGAAGACAACTGGAGACTTTAGCCATTTTTATTTATGTGCATCCTGGTACCCCAATATTGGTATTTTGTTTCCTACCCAGGTAAAATTTGCAGCTTGTTATCAATCCTGCGCGATTTTTTTTCTACGTAAAAAGAAAATTGATGGAGATAGGCATTTGCAAACTTAGACAAACATTTTACTGGATCTGCCTCTTCCTTAACCGTAATCATTCTCACTGATCTTGTCCCCGGAGCACACTGCTTACACTTTGAGAGGAGGAAAAATCTAGCAAAAGTATGTGAATCAACAATCTCGTTTAGAAGTTAATTAATTTTTAATGCATTAAAAACATTAAGGTCGTGTTTTTACTTTGAAATAAAATCATCTCTGATTTTGTTTGTGAGTTTGGCCTAAGAGCTGATTTTCTGTAAAAGTGGCCGGAAATGACATAGTTATAAAATATATACTTGAGGAATTAAATCATATTAAAATTATAACATACCTATAGATAGTAATAACTCTATAAGAGAACATGATTTTGAAAGATAATAAAACTATAGAAATGTAAAGAAGACATATATCTATGGCAATATAATACCTTTCTAGTTGAGTCTATTAACTTGTTAAATATTTAATCATCCTGGAAACATTTAATTTATGAACCCGGACTCATAAAAACGTTTTAATGATTGAGGTAAATTGTGCTAGATTTTGCTCTTTTTAAAACCCTCTTGAATTTACAGAATTATGCCATCCACTTGAAAGTTTATTTTAGACTGTTATAGAGCTCAGTGACCCTATTATCTAGTTCAGGGATCCCTGAATTACATTTATTGTGGCAAATTTCGCATTTATATAGCAATCGTTTTTTTTTTTTTTTTTTTTTTTTTTTTTTTTTTTTTTTTTTTTTTTTTTTTTTTTTTCTGTTTGTTTGTTTTAGTTTTTCTTTTGTTTTTGTCTTGAGAAGAGATCTGTAAGTTCTACTGCATTTGTCCCCAAAAAGGTTAAGAATCCCTGACCTGGCCAACATCCCAAGCTGCCTTATTTGAACAGTAGGTGTCATTACTGCTCTTCATAAGAGCTTAGAGGACTTTTCTTAAAGCAGATATGGAAAATAATTTATTAATGAAAATATTAACGTCATCCCTTTTGTGTGAAACAACTAGAAAAAATTTTATAAAAGCCTTCCTTCTTTTGCCCAGCTAATTTTTTTTTTACTTGCCAATACAGAAAATCTTTTTATTCTCCAAATATTGTGTCCTTTGCTCTTGAGGAGTGATAGAAGTTCACATGAGTAGATTTGGGTGCCATTTTTATCAACTTTTAGTCATATATTTAATGGGAGTCATATTTTTAGTCATATTATTTTAATGGGGTGTTTTCTGATTCTTATACTGAAAAATTATAAATATTACATTTATTCTTGTTTCTCTCAGTTTACAGTTATATAATTGTTTAAAAACACTACTCTATATACAGTATCCTTTACTGTTGTGTGGCTTAGTATGTCCTTCCTTTAAATTTCAGATTTGAAACCTTCACTAGTTCAAAAGAGAGTAATATTGGGAGCCATAATTACTTATTTGATTTCCGAGATCAGAACCTGTGAAAAATGATACTTGGACATTTCTTCCAGGAGTTTGGTCTTTGTTTACCACAATGGTAAGAAATGGCCTAAATGCTAAGGTAGTGTTAGCAGGTACTTTCTGGTAGCATAGTTAGACAAAAGCTTCTGGGACTGTAGGAGACAGTGAGGGACCTATTCTTCCAATTAATGTCTGGAATAGCCTTAGGAATAATTAAGTTGTACTGTGAATTTTAAACTGTCGATTATAAACATCTTAACTCTGTGTGTGTGTGTGTGTGTGTGTGAGAGAGAGAGAGAGAGAGAGAGAGGAGAGAGAGAGAAAGAAGAGGCAAGTGTTGCTTATCACAATTTCACCTTCCGCTACTATGTGAAGACATGTTTATTAGTTTTCTAGGACTGATATAACAAAGTACCACAAACTGGGTGGCTTAAGCAACAGAAATTTATTGTCTCACAATTCTGTGGGCAAGAAGAAGAAGAGGCAAGTGTTGCTTATCACAATTTCACCTTCCGCTACTATGTGAAGACATGTTTATTAGTTTTCTAGGACTGATATAACAAAGTACCACAAACTGGGTGGCTTAAGCAACAGAAATTTATTGTCTCACAATTCTGTGGGCAAGAAGTCTGAAATCAAGGTGTCAGCAGGATTGGTTCATTCCAAGGGCTGTATGGGAGAATCTTTCCATGCCTGTCCCCTACCTTCTTCTAGTGGTTTGCTGGCAGTCTTAAGCATTTCATGGTTTCTGCTGCATCAGTCTGAACTCTGTCTTCATCTTCACATGGCATTTTCCCTGTGCGTGTGTCTGTGCCCCAAGTTCACCCTTTTTAAGGACACCAATCACTGGATTAAGGGTCCACCCTACTCCAGCATGTCTGCATCTTAACTAATTACATCTGCAAAGGTCCTGTATCTTTCTTTTTTTTTTCAAGTTTACTTATTTATTTATTTTTAGTATTATTTATTTATTTATTTATTTACATTCTATGGTGTTGCAGAGCAGTTGGCGGGGAGAGGGAAAGGGAAGGGGGAAGAGTGGGAGCAGGAGGAAGGAGGAGGGACAGGGTTGAGGCCTGTGGCACCCTCCTCATTCCTGCAGTGGAGACCAGGAGGTTTCCAGCGGTGTCTTGGTCATTGCTGGGCTGGGTGCAGATGTCAGGGGTGTGTGGCTGAAGCCCTTTACCCCACAGCCCCAGCTTGGAAGAGGCCGGGGCACTTCCTGTGGCAGTTCGGTGGTCCGTGGTCAGTGGGTGTTGCTGGCAAAGGCCTTTTTTCTAAATAAAGTCCAATTCTCAGGTAATGGGGTTAGGAATTCAAAATGTGAATTTTGGGGAATGCAGTACCGCCTGTAATATCATGTCACAAAAACAAGTTTCCATATTGGACAAGATCATGACTCTCTTAGTTTATCTTTACAAATAAGCATTTGTACTTACAAATGTTTACAAACATTTACAAATGTTTCTATTTGCATATACATTTTCAGTGTTTATACCAACAGAAAAAATAGTAATGTGATAGTTTCAGTTTTCTTTAGATGAATTCATGTACTACCATGTTTGGTAGTAATATGTGTTTCATTACCTGTATTCTCCAGTAGATGTATGGCATGCATTTGGCATGATTTTTCACTGTCACAAACCCAGCATCTAGTTGACTTGCAACTGATAACTTTTCAAAATTTGTGGAATGAATGAATAAGCAAACTATTAAAGTTTAGACACTTAAATATGTGGATGGATGGCATTGAGACCTTAATTTTGATGTGAGGTTGTACCTATTGAATCTGTAAAAAACATACTATGTATGTGTGTGTATGAGATATGCTCACCTCTGAAAGATGCTATTTTAGCAACTGTTAATTAAATCATAATCTCTCACTGTGTGTAAGGCAAAATTTCTTATAAGAGGACAGTTCTGTCTTTCTAATCGTTGTAAATTTTATGAAAATGTAATATTTTCCCTTACATCTAAGTAAGTTAATGCTAAATTTTATTTAAATTCTATAAAACTTAACCCAGCTACTAAGTTATCATATACTAATTTATCTGTAGAAATGTATTTTCAAAAATGGGTTTAGCTAGCAGGAATACTTTTTGACATCAATAAATAAGAAGATTAAGGCATTTAAATATTTTACTATATAAATAAATGTTATATATTTATTTTATTATTTATTCATAACTATTTATACCATTATATTTATATTATATAATAATATACAGACATTTTAAGGCTTTCTTTTAAACATATGTTACTAAAGCCAGCAACATATTTACAGAAAAACATTAAAAATATTCTCATTAGTTAGCCACAAAAAAAGGATGCTCACTATCACCAGTATTATTCACTCTTATTTTTTCCTGAAAGCACTAGTTATGCAATTGGATGACGGAAGAAATAAATTTTGTAAAATAAGAAATAAGGAGGCAAATTTATTTTCATTTGCAAGTGGTATTATACCTAAAAAAAAATGTATAGTGAAAAAGATTTTATTAAAATAGCAATAAATGAGAAATGTGCAAGACCTAGATGAAAAAAATTAAGGGACATAAAATACTTGAATCAATGAAAATGCACACCTTATTTATAGAATACTCAGAATTATAAATACATCTGTTGTGTCATTATCTATACATTCAATTTAATCACAAATAAAATAACAATAGGTTTGATGTGGGAAGGCAGAGGAAGAAAGTTCAT